CATTTTAGCTTCTAAGTTTTTTCTGAGAAGTGAAACCTAAAAGATCTCTCCCCTTAAGCATTCAAAAGACCTACCCAACTATAGTGTTCATTAGCATCCTGAAGTCAAAATCTTACTTCCCATTCAATCAGGTAAGAAGTCAGGAATAGCCTGTGCAGAGTGTCATTCAACTGGAGCTCCAGGATTTATACACAAAGAACAACACCTGGTTTAAGATCCTGGCTGATAAAAAGTGAAACAAGCCAGGATGCTTGGGATGGCTAAAACAGAATGTTCTGCTTCATACAGCCATTCAAGCTAGTAGGAAGAGTCAACTGAAAGCAAACAGTCTAATCAGCCAGCAGTGAGCTCTTTTGTAATAAAACACAGAATCTCTGAAATTCTGGATGATTCTGCAGAAACAAGGAAACAGATTACAAAGTATAAACACTATCCTAGACCATTTTGTTCTGGATTACCCTCAAAGTGGGGAGTGGGCTAAATATTTTAAAGCAGGAGTTCACAATTTCCATCAGTGAGAGGGCTGCACTCCAAAGAAAGAGGCAAGATTTTTTTTGCTTTTGTTTTTATATAATTTTTATTAAGGATTTTTAAAAAGGAAGATAAAAACTAATAGAAATTAATATAAAGTAAGAAAAAGAAATCAAAGAGAAAGCTAAAAGTGCAAGAAAGGAAAAGAAAGGAAAAGAAAAATAGGAAAGAAAGAAGATACAAAGAAATAGCTTCCAAACATCTTTACAGCAGTTATAAAATTATAAATTTACCTCTTGCTCTATGGTTACAATATAACTCTCTTCTTTCTATAATCCATCCTGTCTAATCATCAAAACCATAAGTCATAAGTTCATTTTTTTCTGTTTTACGCAAAAAGTCCATAAGTCAGCAATAAATGTAGATACTGTCTTTTCTCTGATCAAAGACATCAATTTCACCATCTCAGCAAGCTCCATCATCTTCACTAACCATTCCTCCATTGTGGGTAGTGCTGAATTTTTCGATCTTTGTTGTAAGCATGTTGTAAGCTTAAAGGACTCTTTTCACTCCTTAATCCCCATTCAAGTCCCTAGTCAGAAAAAAAGCCCCAAGGTAATTGACCCTGTTCACTCTGGGAATCACAAAAGGATACTGATGTAGACCCTAAACCATACCTATTTGTACCCATTAAAAAAAAATTCCTCTAATTCCCCTCCATTAGCATTTTAGATCAGCTTTCTGGAAAATCACATTCTCCAGCTGGGAGGGGGGTAATTTATTTATTTATTTATTTATTTAATTTATTAATTATTAAACTTGTATGCCGCCCATCTCCCCCAACAGGTGACTCTGGGCGGCTCACAATAACAAAAAAGGAAAAAGCACCAATCCCCCCAACAATGGCTAAAATCCATAAATAATTAAAAATAGAAACATACATTAAAAATATCCTAAAAACCCCCTATAAATTTTAGCCCTAAAAACCTTCAAGATGCTGGGGGGCCAACCCATCACCCCACCAGCCATCTCCACAGATGCAAGCCCCCTATAAGCTATACCTATAAGAATTCAGAAACAGTATGGCCTTTTTAAAGTTTCCACATAAAGTGCATTTAAAAAAAAAATAAAACTGAAATTCAGGGAAGTTACCATTATGAAACATAATAAAGCAATAGACACTGAAAACCATTTCTCCAACTCATAATTTACTCAGTGGGATATACAGTGGACTATCAAAACAACATTACTCATTATGAAAGTTTTACCAAGGACCTTCAAAGGGTGGGGCGGGGGGAAAGGATTCAGTAGCTATTTGCTATAGCAACTGCCTCAATACGAACATCTCAGGAGAGGATGCTGATTTCCCAAGGCAGATGTTCAAAGGCACTACAGAGGGAGGCTATGTGGGGAGATATATTACAATATGCTCTCCAATTTTTGTTTTTAGAAAGCAATTGGTGATTAATTTGCTAGCAAAAGTACAGTGTGTGCAGTTGACAGACATAATCCAGAGAAATTGGTATCTTTGAAACAAGGATCCCACCAAAAAGCTCAATGTCTGGAGGGCATATCTCAACTTTAGATGGCTCAAACTGTTCAGTTCCTACACACTGTTTCTTCTTTTTCAGAACAGAGGGAACAGAAGGAACGTCTCTTTTAACCCTTCGTATGGACTGTAAATTCTACTTTACCCTCTTTGCCCTTGTCTTGACCAAAAGCAGTTTTCCACTTACAGTTCATAAAGAATGTGCCTTCAGAGGCCCCACAGGAAGGAAGAATGTTGAAGTGAACTACATCAGTCCTAGTCAACAAGGCTAATGGTTAGGAACAATGAATGCTCAAGTCTAATAACATCTAGAAGGCCACATTTCATTGTCTCTACTCCCCCCTACTTAAATGGCTAGTAAGACACAAAGTGGTGATTAAGAGATTCATAAAGACAATCTGAGAAATATATATACTCATAGATCAGCTGAGAATTTTAGCTTCCAAAATACACCCAAAAGATTGAGTACGGCTTATATGTGAGTATATACGGTACACCTTCAATCCAAAGAGCTTTACATGCAAATCAAAGTAAATATGCTAAAGTAACACATTTTATTAACTTTCTGGTAAACATGCATAATCCTAAATCCAAAACTCCTTATTCATGTAGAGAAATATATTGCTCTCTAATTACTACTAGCATCTAATTATTGGTAAAAATGTATTTAATAATTTGTAACACAACAGGTATTTAGATCCAGCTCAACTGTCTCAAAAATACTCTAAAGAAGAAAATGCCTTTCTCAGTTCCCAGTATTTTGTTTTATCAGACTGTATCCAGAATGTGTTGTTCGGTTATATTCAAATTATTCATTTTGTTAAACAATCTGCTTTTTCAAAATGACATTCTGAACTTGCAATTCTACTCAATGAACTTTGTGTCATCCAGGAAACTGCTAGACAAGAAGACAGTTTTCATGTCATTTACTAACAAGTGCAAAAAGAGATCATGTTGTATTATACATATTACAAGACTCTCAGAATAGAGGGCTTTGGAATCCTACAAATGGTTCCCCCTAACAGGGCTGTGCAATCCTTCAAAAGAGATGCTTTAGAAGAGATGGGAGTGCATACGAAGCACATAATTTTGAACTGATCAAGCCATCATATCTTTGTTCAGTCTGTCCCAGCTGTTCAGTTAATCCTGACTATCTCCACATGCAAGTGCATTCACAGGCACTTCGCTTCACTGCATGCTAATATGAAGCAAAACAGCTGTAGACGCACCCCATAGGCAGAGACAGCCAGGAGCAGCTTCTGAAGCCACCATGCAAGCCTGAAAAGAGGAAAGGCTGCTTTAAATGCTCAAAAAGCAGCACACCCTCTACATGTTCTGCATCATTCTTTCAAAGAATTTGCACAGCTCTGCAGATCAGTGGTGCTGACTAACTGAGAAAAGTGGGACACAAATGAGCTAAAAGGGAAAGCTGGCCACTACCTGTTAAAAACAGGTTGTGATGCACTCACCACCTGGCTGTTTAGAAGTCACTGTACAGTATATTTCACAAAAATGTTCTAAATGCTAGCAGTTTATAGACAGCTTAGGAACACTTCGTTGGTGGCGAGGTGTGACCTGATCGACGAACAGTTCTGAAGATGTCTAATAGTGAGTCAGGGAACCGAAGGCACAAAAGCCAAGGCGGCAGTATCCAGACTGAATAGCTTATATTCTAAGTCTCCACACACAGCACTATGCCAGCGTAGTTTGTTTTAATCATTTTTTCCATAAGTCACAATGGCTGAGCTCATACACAATGCATAACCATAAATCATGGCTTACAAATCACAATGTAAACTTTGCAAAATTTGCGAAGCTGGAACCAAATAAATCACATCTTGGAGTGTTGAATGAATCCAGAGATTAGGCTGAATAAGGCATCCAAGCACCTGAGGCTTGCAAATTTAACTAGCCTGTTTGTATAAATTTTATTCCTAAGAGCTTAATGGTTAAAAAAAAAAACAAAGAACAAAAAACCTCAGTTCAAGGTTTCTGATATGAAAAACTGAAAGGCACTATATTGAAAGGCACTATTTGCTTTTGCTTTAAAAGTTTACATCTGACTGCATGCAGAGCGTACATTAGTAAAATTTATGGAGCTACTGAAAATGACACTTTTCTGTTGGCATCTCGCACTCTTGTTTGAACAGGACAATTAGCTCAGCAACTGGTAGAAGACACAGATCTAGAATTTCTGCATGCTGGTACCTTTTTTTTCAAGAGCTA